GTTTCTCAATTCTGTTATGTGAAATTCTTGGATTATTTTGTGGTGGGGGGATGGTGTTTTGGTTTGCTTTCCCCATGGAGAGATAAGGTATCATCAATTCTCTGAACATTGGATTCCCCAGAGTTCAAACTTGGGTTCTGTTGGCTAGTTGTGGTTGGATTTTTGTTATTATTAGGGATGCAGAAAACTAATCAGACATATTATTCCTTTGTAACATTTCATCCTTTGTAAGGATTAAAGCAATATTAACATTTAGTTATTTGTATTGTTTAAATACATACTTAGTTATATGGTTTGGAAATGCATAATATGTATTAATAACCCTAAAACAATTATAAAACTCAGTTCCAAATACAGTATTTTACTTATTACCAGGGATCTCAGTGTTCCATTTCCTACTCTTTTATTCATGTGAGAAAAATTTGAAAGTGTGTATTTCTATTATGTTTTATCGAACATTTCTAAACACAATTGAAAATTCTTGTACACTTGTTCATCTGTCAAAAGCCATGCTGAGAACATTACCTAAGTAACTTGGGGAGCAGGGATGGACAGACAGTATTCAGCTGATTCATGCTCCTTCCCTTTTTAGAATGATTCAGAGTTACATCTGTCCACAGCCTTACAATCTACGAATTTGCTATTTTAATCTTAAAACTAACAATATGAGATTATGGTAGCCAAGGACCCATATCTATGGTGGGTATTCCTTACGGAGAGTTACAAAATGAAAATTGTTAGAAAAGAGAACAAAAACAAAACTATGTAGAAAGGAATGTACTGCCGTTATCAGTATGTTACTGGTTTGAATCAAGATAATAACATTTTATCATGAAACCAAAATTTATCTTTCAAATAAAATATCATTAGTTTATACCACGTGTTCAACTTGAGGTCAACTTTGTTAATCTTCAGTTGATTAGTATTTTAATAGTCCCAAAAAAACAGTGTGTAGTCCCAATTAAACTAATGGGACTCCTCACTATGTACTACTTGATGAGTGAAATCTAAGCTTCATTAAAATCAATGACAGAACTACCAGTAGTTTCAGTGGTCCAGGATCTCACTCAGTGTACAGTGAGAATCTGGCCCTTCCTCATTTTTCCACTTTTTCAGAGGTGTTTGGATAAGTGAGACAAACAAATAATGTAGGTTCACAAAGCTTTTACTACTAAATTATGGCTATCTTCTGGGAGAGATGCTGCACATTTGTTAGCTAAACAGAATTCTTGAAGGAAGGCACCAATAGGATAAGGAAAGAAGTTAGAGGGTAAAACCTAGCAAAGGCAAAAGTTACTAAGAAAAGTGTCAGGCAATAGTGGAACAAACCCTATTTTAAATCCTTTATTTTACAACTAAATAGTAGGAGATTAAAGGTAAATGTACATGTTACACTTAAACCATGCTAAATATGAGGAACATTTAACAGTGTTAAAGTTAAAATGTATTATGAGCAATTGCACATTACATACAGATTAATACCATTTCTTGCTTGCAGCTTTCTGACATGCCACTAGAAGGTTGGCCAGCAAAGGCCAGGAGTCAGGACACCAGGGCTAAATACGGACATTTGCCCTAGGGACAGAAGTTACACATAAACCGGCTTAAGTGATCAGAAACTGGTTTAAACCTGTAACAGAACAGAAGTTCAGTGCACATAAACCAGTTTCAAAATGGCTGAAACTGGTTTAAGTTAAACCTGGTTGAATGTAGTATCAGACTTAACTGATTTAGGTCAAACCAGTTTATGAAACTTCTATCCCAGACCTCTTCCTTGTTCAAGTTAAATCACAGTCCCCCAGCAACCCAGCATGCTTTGCAGGCCTGGGCTGGGCTGTGCTGTCTGCTCCAAAGAGTAGGGCTGGCCCCACCTCTCTGCTTCCTAGCTGGAGCAGTGAGGACTGGCTCACTGCCTCACCACCCCTCAGGCAAACCCCAGCTGGTGTCTGGGGCCAGGGAGGGGTCTTAAACTTCCTTTCACCTGAGTATAGACCTGCCCTGCCCTCAGAGGCAGCAGGGAGAAGAAGCAAACACACAGCACAGCTGTGTTTACAGTTCTTCAGTTTATAGTTCTTCAGAGAAATAACTATGTTCAAGAAATAACTTGTTCAAGTTTTTATGAATTCCAATGCAACTACCTTTTCCCCGACCCACCGCCCCTCCTCAGCCTGGCAGCACTCCCTTCCCACCCAGCCCAGGCAGAGCACGGGCTAGGGCCTGGCTATGCCCCCTCCACTCCAGCAGCGGGGTGGGTGGGGGGGGCGGTCTTGGAGGGTTTCTCTCTTCTCTTCCCTTCCTTTTGGCAGTGGCTGGCAGGCATGCTCTAGTGCCCTGCCCCCAGCTTCTGGCTTGAGCCACTGTAGGCATGTGGCTGCATTTACTCAATCAAAAGTGATTGTTTGCTTATTGGTTCAATTTTGCAACTCAGACTGACCTACGGAGATTGAATCAACTCAGCCCTGGGCTTTTTGACTGCCTGTATTTAGCCTTGGGGAAGTTAAATCAAGTTTAAAATGGCCACCCATTTAAACTTAGCTTGTCCCAGTGCTGACCTTACACTTACAGAGCCAGTCCTAGTGACTGCCAATCAGTCAAAATCTGTAACTGTCCAGAGGTTCCACGCACACAAACTGGCCTAAACATTGCAGAACCTGTTTAAGATAAACTTGGATCTATGTAGTACCTACCCCCGCACCCGACCTGTGGGTCACACCTTCTCCCACCCCTCATGGGTTGCATTTTCCCGCATCCCCCAGCAGACCTCTAGCCCCTCTTAGGCCCCCCATCCTGACTTACCTGACATTGGGCAGTCAGTTTAAATTGATTTAAGCTCCCCCTAACACCTCCAAATGTCTGTACTTAGCCCTGTGATCTATCCCTGCTCTGAGTTGTGGGGAGAGAGACTGAGAGTGGTCCATCCTGGGATGCTTGAAGACTGCAAATCGCTTGTTTTATCTCCATGAAGCAGATTGAAGTTACCCTAGAGTTAAACCTCACTTTAAGTGGCTTAACTTTGAGATGCTCAGAGACACTTAGCACAAGTTAATGAGTTTTAATGTGCAGGTATTTACTTTTTAAGTGCCCTCAGTATGGTCTAACTGTACTGTTTAACTTCAACCTAAGATTAATTTTGTGTTTGCAAAGCTAAAATTTACCATACTGAAAATAACCATTCCCTTTTAACACCCATCCCTGCATTCTACAAGTACAGTTTCAGACCAACGGAGAAACATAAGTGTTTTTAGATACAAGTCAATTATTCAGAGCACAAGTACTGTAGTACATGTGCATTAAGAGTTTTGCCAATGATAACAAATGATGGGCCAAATCCTCTTCTTATATTAAAACTAGTACAATAATCCCTCTTATGGCAATGAGCCAAAGCCTCAGCTGCTATATCATTGTACTTTCATAAGGCAAGCAGGTTGATCCTATGTGATACCTCTTTTTAAGCTCATAGAACTTAAATCAAACATGTTCCACTATAAAGAAACAGGTTAAATAGGAATATATTAGTCAAAAACTAAGGGTCACAATGAGCAAATTGAGATCCAATTTAAAGGCTAGTTTTGCTATCTGTTAAAACACTGTCTCCTCCAAGATAGTGGGAGAAGGTACTTATGAACCCAATATGCTAAGCTATCATCTTTAAAAGATTTGTAGAAAAAGATATGGAGTCACCTTGCAGATAGAATTTGATGTTATTTTATTCTTCACATTTGGTCTAAAATGTCAGTTTCCATCAGTGCCTTTGGGGACAGCTCTCAGTCAGTGCATTAGGAACATCAGATTTCCATCTGTTTGGTATCAGTCTGTCAGCCTCCAGTATAGATATAGCTATCACTTCTTAATATTAATTCTGACACTACTACCACACATCAGTCAAATCCTGCAGTTCTTCAGCTTTACAGGGTATTTTTTTCTGAGTAATGTGTAAAGACTACAGGATATGAACTATTAGTCTTTTTTTTTTTAATCTAAAAATATAAATCACATTTATGGCCAAATTCATATTAACAGCTGTTTTAAGTGGTTGTATTTCTTGGTTTAGATTACACTAGTTTTTAGCTTTCAGTTGACTGTCCCTAAATTTAGAGTAAATTATGAAGAAGAAGACTCAAAAAGGACAATACTTGCTGAGACCAGATCTGGGTTTACCTTTGTTTCCCTCTGAACTCTAAAGCTAGCCACATGATAAAGCAAGGAATTCCCAAAGACCAGAATATATTCTCTCTATGCTCCAAGTAATTTTGAAATCCATTAATCTGAGTCCAGTAGTTTTTTTCACACACAATCTTTGGCACAAAACCATTAGGCCAATAATTCTTCTGGTCAGTACTGATATAGAACAGAACAAAATCTATACCACTATCACTCAAACAATAAAGTCAAGGAAATTAACTTTGAATCCTTACTCAATTTATTCTGAATTTAAGTCACAAATTTCAATCTGAATTCCTTGGTAATTTCAGTGATAAAATGTGTGGTATTAAAACTGGAGTTGTCCTTAAATAAATAAATAGATAAATAACAGGCAGGTTTTTTTTAACTCTTGTGTCTCTAACCATGATAACATATACTTCTGAGGTAGTTTAATTATTACTGCATTACTTTAAAACAAACATTTTTTTAGCACAAATCAGCTTTCTGCATTACTCAATATACTATTAGGCAAAACCTATAAACTATAAGTAGCAGCTTATTCAACAATCTTCAGTACTTCCTTTTTCTCAAACTGAGTTATGATGCTCCCACCACATGTATTGAGATCACACATCTCGTCCCTGAGCAACCTTCAGGCACCCCTGCATTTGGACCATGTTTACAGGTGAGCAAATCCTAAAATGGTATAAATCAGTTCTGCTTCACTAACAATGGAATGTCACCATTTTGCACCAACTGGTATACACATGCTATACAATACTATACATTGTCCGTTAAAAAGTAGTGTTTTGGATTTAAATAACTAATATGTTAAAATAGAATTTGCTAGGACTTACCTGCAAGTGTTCTGTAATCCACCAAGTCAAACATTACAATAGCTACTGCTGACCAGGTAACAATCAGAGCGAAAACAAGAAGCCATGCTGCTGGTGAACTGAATGTTGTTACTATGTCTTCTGTAACTGATTTCTTTGTCACTTTCACAGGTGGGGTGAGAACGGATCCATTCTTTCCATTTATTATTGTGGTTGTGGTGGACATATGTCCTATTCAAACATCAAGAACAGAAAAACAAATGTTTAGACGACATATTATATTTTCCAATGTAAACATAAAGAACATATATGTCCCTTCTAGTCTGTTATTGTTATTAGAGAAGTGTCCTTTGTTACAAAGTCTCTCAATTCATCTCTACACAGTGCAACAATTAAATGTATGCTTTATATGTTTGCATACATACTAACCTAGACTTAAGTATGTTAACTCTTATCTTACATTGATACATTCCGTTCAGGAAATCACTTAAGAACATGGGGAAGCCAATCACAACACTCAAGTTATTCCACACAATACTTAAGGAAATGACTGAATCACATTGTCCTCAGTTGGACTTACCATAACCATGTCCTTAACATTGTGCTGTCCTGAATCGGAGCAATAATTAATCAAACTAATTCAGGAGGTAACAGAATAGCAATGAATGGCTTTTTGATCATCACTCTACCATGACATTTTCAAACTTAAAACAATGATGGATAGAAGTATAACAACTATCTGGAGGACTGTCTTGTTATAGGCATGGAGGGCAGGCCTTTTTTTCACTTACTGCAACTTACAATCAGTTCTAAGTTACCCAGCTAAAATGTAGGAGATATTTTATTGCCCACTCTGGGAGCCTAAGCGTCCCACATTGTTCTTCTGTACATTGTGTATCTGTACTTCTCTGGAGAGCAATACTGTTCCTATATATTCCATTTTGTAAATTTCACTCAGTGACTTCTATTTCACCTAGTGCAGCTGGCTTACAGAGGCATGAGCTTTCCTATGCAACAGCCTACTTTATCAGATATAATGAATGGACTTGCAAAAAGAGAGGTCATAAAATAAAGAGGGCTTTAAATACAAAGGAAAAGGACGTGGAGAGCCAGTGCTGAGAGGCAACAGGTGAGTTGAAAAGGTCAATAGAGATAAGGAAGATATTTAGCCCACTAAGGGATACAGGAATAAACAGCTGGAGATAAAAAATAGTCCCAGAATGGGATACGAAGTCATAATCTCTGTTGATACCATATTTAACACAATCCAGTCTGGATGACTCCTTGTTCTACAATTTCACGTTAAAGTTGTTTTTTAAAGTTTTTTATTTTGTTTGTTTAAGGACAGCTATTCTGAAGTCAATGATAGAACATTCAGAGAGGTTTTTGCTTGTTTCTAGAATTGAAGTCAAATCAATGTCCATTTGTTCTTTTTGTATAGGGATTGCCCTGTCTAGCCAATGTAGACACCTAAGGGTCCCCGTAAGCAGATGATGATGTATACGATGCTGGTAGAGGAGCAAGTGGATGAACCTTGGATACTAAATTTTGTATGGGATAATCCAATAATGATGTAGTCTGTATTGATGAGGGGGCAAAACCAGCATCTGGGTTTATAGCAAGGTCTCATGGCTTGGTGAGAGTAGGGTTGGTAGTCTGTCACTGCAGAGAGGCAGTTTGAGATAGGGGGTTTGCTTGTGAGACATGACAAGCTCATCCCCCAAGGCTAACTTGAGACAGTCATGCCTCCCGCCCTACTCTACTTTCTAACCAACTTTGAGTTACCCAACTAAGATGAAGGAGATATTCTATTGCCCACTATGAAAGCAGCAGTGCTCCATTACAGGAACAAGGAGACATCCATGCTTCTTCAGAGAGTGATCTTGTTCCTATTATTGGGGCATAACTCCCCCAGAGGTTATGCCCCAACTAGAATTGTTCCTACATTTTACTCCAGTGCAGAGCTGGTCAGAAGCTGAACTTGGTCATCCATTAGGTGAGACAGAATTTTGCCCAGTGTCAGATCTGCAGGTGATTGAAATTATCAGACTTTTGTTGACCTTAATGGAGTGATGGCAGTTCAAACAAATTTAGCAGTTAACTATCATTCTGTTGTCAAGGGCACATGTATAACAATGGCAAAATCTGTGAAGACAATCCTATCCAAGTAGTTTTATAAATAAATTTGTTTAGCACATTGTTTTATTTCATGAGCTAACCTTCTAAAAAACTAGTCTTTTCTCCAAAAACAGCGAACTAAATACTGTAAGCTAATGCCTCAGTATTAGAAAGACAGGCATATATTTTACTTCTCAATGGGCACATCTACATGAGCTGCAACTGCAAAGTGGTTACTGCACATTTATTTAATACTTGGGTTGCTGGGTTTTGAAAACCTCCAAGGATGGAGCTTCCACCACCTCTGTGGGTAACCTGTTCCAGTGTTTTACTACCCTCCTAGTAAGAAAATTCTTCCTAATATCTAACCTAAACTTCCCTTGCTGCAACTTGAGACTGTTGCTCCTTGTTCTGTTATCAAGTCAGTAAGCAGCAACTGACCATTTACTGCTTAATACAAATGCATTTTTATATACACAAATTATGTAACCTGCTTCCCTTTGGCTTGTGCTGCATATAGCTCAAAATAATAGTGACTGTTTATGGTTTCACTTTATAACATTTTAAATTACTAAAATTAAAAACCTGAAAATTATTAAAGATGTTTTTCATTTTTGAACTTAAACAAGTTGTAAGCTGAACAATCATTGTTTTCATTTGATCTCTCCCTATTCATCAATATTAGAATGGTGCAGTAACATAATCTTGGAGGTAATTTCTCTAGCAGCTACATTGGTGCGTTATCTGCGGCAGTAACCTAAAAAGTCCAAACATGTGTAATATAACTGTATAGTTTTGATTAAGCTCAGTTAAAGAGATATGAATCAGGCCTGAAATCTTTTCATTGGATCCAAGGGCACTGCATCCAATGTTATTAGAATCTGAATTTTGAGTAATCCGCCTTATTGTTAAAGAATAAAGATCAATGCAAATGAACACTATCTTGTGCTTTTGGTATATTTTAAATACCAAAGAGAAATATGAACAGGTAATACCTGACAAGCTCATGTCAGTGCTTCCCATATTGCCTCTACCATATAATTGCCACCTCCTTTGCATGGTAGGTAGAGGGAGAAATAACTGAACATTCAGATAACCAAAAAAGGGATATATATGAAAGAGCTGTACTAAACAAATATTACTCAGTCTCCATGTCTTACATCCAAACAACAATTATTTGTCTGGAAATTCTACCATTATTTATTTGGAAATTCAACCTGAAAGAATCTTGAAAGGAGAACATAAGATGCTACTGGCTAACTTTTATGTCAGTGTCACCAACCTGAGTACTTAAGGAAATAAATACACACATATGTTATGGTAAATAAGATCCTTTGTTTCACCCAGAGGTTTCTCTTTTTCTAAATTTAAACAGAGCATAAAGCTTTCAAGCCTGATGTTGATGAGAACAGTTTTGTTTGAAATCAGTTCAAAAGTGTGATGTGATAATGAACCAGTTTCTGTGTATTTTGCAAAAATTTATAATGAGAAGGTCAGTGTGAGATTCAATAGTAGTAGGATTTCCACTTGAGCACAGTACGTTAGAAATGAAGTTAATCCAATTCATGTACTAAACTATTCAATATTTGACATTAATTGTGGGTTTCACTGTGTTTGTATATGATCTTCAATATTTTTTGCCCATTTTCCTTTGCATTATCTCCAAAAACACCTGTATACAGAACAAGTGTCTTCTAAGCCTTAGACATATGTTCTGCTAAACAATAATGTTGTATAAGTGGCACAGAATTGGCATATTACATTATTTTTATCATTTACTTTAAATTTGGTCTTATTTATGGATAGTTAACTGGATGCTTATCTTGCTGGGATCCTATGACCCCAGCTGACTTCCTGCCCTTTGGGCAGGGGGCTGGACTCGATGATCTTCCGAGGTCCCTTCCAGCCCTAATGTCTATGAAATCTATGAAATCTATGAAGTTTATTCAGTTCATGAATAATCTTATCTACTAAAATGTAATCTATACTCATTTTTTTTATATTTTAAAATCATCACTGCTTCCATTTTTCTAAACATAAATTTTGGATCAAATTTTTCACTTCAGGAGAAAAATCTGCCAAGTGATAAAGCGTAATAAACATCATCTTCCTAAAGTCATACTCCAAGTCAACAGCATTACGTTTTGCTACTGCCTTGCATATAAAAAGGAAATAATTCGTGCATGCAACAGGTTATAAATGAGACATTATGCATTTTTTCCTCTGGGGAGATCAGGAGTTTATGATGTGAGAGAGAACAGAAAGGTACTATCTCATCTTGACTGGTCTGATTAACATCATAACATACATCTCCAATGACATACTAATGTCAGATATTTGCACGGTTAAAGCAAAGATAATTAAAATTATATATATTCAAATTACTATTTAAGTTAGAGTTCTACCAAGAAAAGCAGCTATGTACAAATAATGCCTTTTTATTCAACAAATCTGCACCTTTTGTATTTCAGTCATATCTGTTTTTATGAAACACTTTAGAGAGAAAGAGGGAGCAAGAAAAAGAGAATAACTATTCTGCTAGTTACATACCATCTATGGAGGCAGAACAGCTGGGTTCCAGCTGTAGTGAATAATTATTTATACAAAATGAAACAGTGTAAACAGGAGAGACTGGCACTACCAAACTTGCAGCAGTTCTGTGAATCTTGTCAATTCACTGCAATGTCACAAATAGTTTCAGAAGGCAGTTACTTTTAAAACAGAGCCACACTTCTCTAGAAATCTAGAGAGTTTACTAATGTTCAAATGCATCCGACAAATATGGCCATTCTAAGATTACGTATAAAATTTATGCATATAGGTTTATGTAGAAGGTATGCTTTCATTAAATGGGTGTGGAAAAGCAATTACAAGCTTCTTTGCACTGTTAGATTCAGATTAAAGGTAGAATAGAAATACTCAGTGCTTGGGCCAAATTCAGCACCAGTAGTATGGACAAAAGCAAAATGCACTTCTTTTCACAGTCCAGGACCCTTTTACTTCATTGTCAGGCCACCCAAAATTTATTCAAGGCATGCAATAACAGTGAAGCTGCAGACATAGCACCTCATTTGCAGTATTAGCTTTATAGTTGGGAGTAGTGGCAATAAATG